AATCAAGGGGGGGGTGGAGTGGAGCTCCCTACCTCGGTGTGGGGCTTCCAATCCACCTGCTTCCCCTTCCAGCACAGGCCGCACAAACCCCAGCTCACAGCTTCCTCCCCCTCCCATCTTACAGACTCCCACACGAACTGACAGAAGTTAATGAAGATGCTTTGGAGTGCCTTCATCTAAACCCTCATTTATATGATGGTTAATTTGTTGTGTGATCAGGCACTTTTTTTTTTTTAAAGCACTCTGCAGCAGTAGAGTGCTTTCAAGGGGCTGACTGTGTGACAAAACATCACTTGTCAGCACCCCAAGTAGAGTCATGTTCAGCAGTTGCAATTCAAAGACTTATGCATGCTCCAGCTCCAGGCTGTAGGACCTGAGCATGGCTTTTCCTGCAAGCTTGGGACTGTTTCCCACTCCTGGGGAACAGGAGCTGAAATGACGCTTCCATATGCTACTAATGGTGCCCCTGATCCTGGTTAGGTACTATGGAAAGGAAGAAACAATTTGATTAGTTTGCAGAGGTGAGGTGGGGAGGGGAATTCTTGAGTGTTGGTGATGAAAGTGGGGAGAAGCAGAGATGGACTGTAGTGTGGAATAGACAGGCTGTGAGCAAGAGAAGAAAGGATATAAAGCCACTAGGCATGCTTCCCTCCAGAGTCTGGGAGCAAATCTGTCACTTCTGAATCACAAACACCACTGCTCCAGCCTGTATCACTGTGTAGCAGCACAACTCACTGGCAAAGTATCTTCTATCCCCTCTAGTGGCTGGTCCACACTGAGGATGACATGTTGCTGTTGCTATCAGATTACTTCCTTAGCTACAGCAGCAGACGCCTGTGCTGTGGACTTAATAGTTTCAAGCCAATTGCTGATGCTGAGGATCATACGATTTTTTTTCAGTTTGCTATGTTCAAAGCCTACGACATTACAAACATTAAAAAACAAACCAAACAACAAAACCCAAACATTTTTAAGGTTGCAAATTCAAAGACTCAAAAGTTAGGTAATGTCCTAATTATCAGTGCCTGTACAATGTGCATTACAATAGCTTTTATAAGCGCTTTCCCCTTGCACTCTTGCCTGAGGGTGGACCTGCTTTATATGTTCAGGGTAGTATCCTGGAAGAGGCTGTAAAATCCTGTGCCTCTTGCAGAATGTGGAAAGTGTGGTGAATGGGGCTGGGGAAAGCAAGAGAAAAGAGGGTCTTGAGATGCATGTAGTTAAATAACACTTGGAAAATTGGATTACATTCTGCCAGGGAATTCCTGTGAGAGGCAAAGCAAGTCACTTAAACTATGCTTTTCAGTGATTTTTGGCTAATTGTGTTCCTTATTTTCTGCCCAGCCTGTGACCCTGGGGTTTGATTTGCAGAAATGTCAAGTACCCATAGCTATAACCAAATACAGCCAATGCCCCCAAGCATCCACAGCAGCATTGGCTGTTCTCTGAACATATGAAACACTAAAAATGAAGTGGTTTTTTAAAAAAAATTAGGCCAGGGGCATGTGAAAGTGTGAATGTGAAATCAGTAGGCAGTTTTGACAATTTTGGCTTTCATTTCTGAATTTCATTTTCCCTACATTTGAAATGGAGAAAATCCCTACCTTGTAGAGGTGTTGATAATAGCTGTGGACCCTTGGATGAGAGCCACAGAAAAACCCACGAGGGCATTAACTCTGTATTTAGAATGGGATTTACATAGTATGCAGTAAAAGCTTGGGGCCCCATACTGAATGAGAAATATAAAATAGCAAACAGCTGCTTGGTTAGCACTATTCCTCCTGTGCATAGAATGATGAAGGGACCAGTGGAAAAAAATGGTATGTGTTCATGTAATTAAAGGCTGCCTTGTAATGCTTTAATGCCAGCAGGCTGGGCTGCGCAGATAGCAGCACTTTTGGAATTTCTGAACTTGGATACTTGACTTTACAACCTTAACTTTCCCTCCAGTGTTTTTATGCATCATAATAGCTGTTTGATGAGTTGCAGCTCTGCAGAAGGGTAAAGACCAATACAACCTGCTACATGACTTGTTCTAAGGTCTGTTTAAAAAAATGATCACATGTACCCCTCCCTCCCATAGACATTTTTTGTTGCTGAGTAGATAATACTTCTCTTCCAGGTCCCAACCTCCCACTCTTGGCTCCCTACCTACCTTTGGTGACATAAAGGTAGAAGAAATCACAGTAGAAGATGGTTTGTACCACCCCAGAAACCACAGCAATCTGGTCATAGAAGTTCTCGGTGTGGTAGCGCCAGATCCAATTTGCGATGTAGAGAGCACGGTAGAGACCCAGGAAGAAGAGGTAGTGTGTTGTAATGGTCTCTGCCTCTCCTGTCTTACTGATCATGAAGAGCTGTGGAAGGATAGCAACTGATTCCAGGTAGATGGAGAAGGTCCAGAGGATCTATGAGAAAAGAGAAATGGCTTAGAATAGGTGTCAAATATATGGCCTTCAGGCTGGATTGGGCCCATGATGCTTTATAATATGGCCTATGGGTTATTGAACCAATCCCATGCACAGGCTCTGGCCCTGGCACTGTGCGCACGTGGCAATTGGGGCTGGCACACAGTATGTGCTGCCTGTGAACACAAGCTGGATCCAGCACTACCCATGGTGCAGGGGCTCCAGAGTATGGGCTGCATGCAGTGCCTCAGATGGATCCCCAGTGCTGTCTGCAGGACTGGGTCCAGCCCATGCGCTGTGTCCAGCAAGCCCCTGGGCTGGTGCTTGTGGTGCACAGGCAGACCAAGCGCTGCGCAGAGAGTTGGACTCAGTTCAGCCTACAGACCAAACCCAGTGATCTTTCTCTTGCCTGTGGGGCCAGATGAGTTTGACACCCCAGGTTTAGAAGAATAGCATTAATTTCCAGGAGCCTTCAACATTTTCATTCAGAAACTGCAGCTCTTTATGCGGGCTGTTGTATGAACCATCCTTGCCCATAGGCACCTGCAACCTATCTTAAGACTAGATCTAGCAGAGGTGTGAAACGAGCAGTGGGATGGAAAGGGGCAGGAGGAGGGTGATTGGTACTTAAGTGGGTGCATGTAGGCTGTGGCCCTGTGTCCCCTGCAATGGTTCTGAGTCGGTTAGACTTTTGTTTGGGGAAAGGGAAGTATTTACATTCAAAAAAAAAAAAAAAAGCTGCAACCATCTTTACAGGTCTTCTGGCTAATAAAACAAGTCCTGCTGAAAGCAGGTGCAGCTGTTGTTCCAATTCCTTGGGACTAGAAGTTGTTGACTGGTCAATAAACCACTGTCAGTGCTGGGACGGACTGGTGTCCCCATTAGTGCCCTCTGGACAGAAAGCTATGTATGCAGCTGGAGCTGTGCTGCACAAACCTACAGGTGTAGCCATTCTGAGTGAAGACTGATGTAAGCCAGAAGAAGCCTACCCTGCTCTTTGTGTAGTACAGAGAAGCATCTACCTTCAAAAGCTGCCCCTCTGGGCCTCTCCTTCACAAGGTTTGCTTTAAGAACATTTCTTTCATCCTATTTTGAGGACATTAAGCCCCCACCGGGTGGCCACTATCTAATCCTCTCCCCTTCCTCCGTCCCCTGCCCCTTCACTTTTTAGTTTTCCATACCTCCAAAGCAGTGAAGCTGTGGTTCTCCAGGAACGACAGGCCTGTGACGGGGACCAAGAGGAATTCCAGACGGAAAGAGTCATTCTCGCTGTCAGATGTTTTACGGAACTTTCCATAGATCATGTACACAGTGATATAGGCACACAGCAGAAAAATGACCTGTGGAGGTAGGCAGAAGAACAAAATATTTTTCTCATATTCCATTGTGCCTTCTCCACTTCTTGACGAACCGACTTGCTGCATGCTCACCTCCGTCAAGACCTGCTTTTAAGATAGTGCTAACGGTAACACCTGCTTTTAAGGCAGTGCTGATGCTGGTTGGAGGCAAGGTGCTAGGGATTATGGTTCTGCACCACCTTGTCAAAGACCTTGGATGGGTTCCATGACTATCTCTTCTCCTTCCTGGTGCTAGGGATGTTGCAGTGGCTGAGCCAGTGTCTCAAGGGGTTAGTGCTTTGTACTGGTGTGTAGGAGATCCAGGTTTGTTCTAGCTATATAAAGCCCTACAGGAGGTGCTGGCCTGGTGGCTCAAGGTGTTAATACTCTTACCATCTAGGCTTGAGTCACACTCTTCTGCTCCTGGTCTCAGTGGTACTAGCAATTCTGTAGAAGCAACTTGCTCGGCCCTTGTGGTGAGCAGGCTGTTCCTCAGTGTGTCTGGTGAATGGGAGACCAGGGTCTCCAAGGGAATCTTAGCTGGGCCCTCTTGGTGTAAATGGCAGTCCAGTGTAACTTTGGAGCCTTGTAGAAAGTGGAGGTGAAGATGGAATCACCCCCTTCTCCCAGAAATGGAAGCACTGATTCAATATAAATCTCTCCTTTACTTCTGTCAGGTAACTCCACAAAGGAGCTAAAGCAGTCACTTGGAGTAGCATTCCTGACACAACCTTACCTTCATGACGGTGTTGTAAATTGAGATGAAGGTGTTGAATAGGTCAAGATAACGGGTTGTGAAGACAAGAGCAAAAAGGATCTGGCTCTTCCCAGAGATACCTGCATGGCAGGGGAGATGACAGGTGTGAGAGAAAAGGTATTCAGAGCTCATCCTCTGCATCTTCACCATTGAAACTCCACTCCTTGTGCACCCACCCTCTCCTCTTGCTGGAAGGATACCTTCTCCAGTGAAGAACAGGCTCCAGAACAAAATAAATCCTTCAAGCTCCTGAGCTGGTACTACTTTTTGAGTGTAAAGTGGGACAACAGCAGTTTTGGGAGAATAAATGGGACTCTTACCTAGTGCCTTAGTGGCTCTTGGGATATTGCTTATATACGCAATCAAAATTAGTTCACTAAGCACAAGTAGAATTGATTTGGATGAAAAATATCTGTTGCTGTTAATCTTCTGACAGATACGCATCTTCGTTTTCTGAGTGAAATCATCCTATAACTGATGGGATGGAACACATCTCCAGCCGAGCCCAGTCTGGTCCAGTAACTGACCACTTCACTCTGACGTGTCTTTCCTGAACTGGAGGAAGATCATTAACCTACCATTGCTAGAGCAAAGTAGCCTGGGGACTAAAGTGCACAATACCACTGGGGAAAAAATGTGTAGGGATGGCAGATGAGGGGAGGAGTGACAGAGCCTGTATCTTTAAACCTATTTGTCTGACTGTAGTGAGTGAACTGGACATTTGTAAACCTTGCTAGATGACAGCCTTGGTGTCTGCAGGCCTGGCATGCACAGCAGCAGGCTTGATTTGGAGGGAACGCCCCTACAGTAACAAGGGAATTCACTTTCTGTGGCCAATTTAGGCCCTGTCTGCCCCAAATTGCTGTTCCTCTTTCTCCCAGTGTCTTTTGGGCAATGATGATGTGGCACCTCCCTCACCAGAGAGATCACAGAGCAGCCCACAAACAGGGAGTGAGCCTGGTATTCAGTTTGAAAGAGGCTGATGAGGGTGGAATGGAGGGAAACACACTCTCTGCCTATGATGACCCTGCTCTGAAATGCTGGTGATGATAAGGTCCTAGTTTGCAGGGCTTTAAGTTAATTTAATCTCAGCAGTCCTAAAGTCTATTAGAAATTAAAGCAGAAACTCTAAAAATAACCCCTCTGCAAATAAGCAACCATGTTTTCTTGCAGAGAGCAGCTTGGCAGGACCAGGGGGCAACCTGGCTGTAGCTTGCATAGCTTAGCACTTGGCATGTGGGAGTGGACATTAGTTCTGAGTTCTATTCCTGATTCACCTCATCTCCCTGGAGCAAACAGTTTCTGTGTATCATGCCTCACCAGGCCCCCAGTTTCCTCCTCTGTGAAATGAGGGTAAAAAGCACCTCACGGGGTGCTGAGGCTAAATTAAGGCTTGCAAAGTGCTTTCAGATGCTGAGGTGGAAGATGCAGAACATTGTTACAGCTTCCTCTCTTGTCTGGTCAACAAACATAACTCAAGCAGTAGGGGGGTGTAGTGGGAGGGGAAGTTATCAGCTGCCTGCGGTGTTCCCCTGCTGGAATTGAGTCCCCCTTTAGCAGCAATGCCTCTCAGTCTCTCTCTCTTCCGTTTGCCTGGAAATGTTTCTACAGCCTAATAGGCAGAGAAGAGAAGAAAGGCCTGCACACACATCAAGCTCCTCTCCACAATTCAGGCAGTGTTATCACCAAGTTAAGCACCTGTGCTAAGAGTAAATCTGTTTTGCCACATTGCCACACCTTTCTTCCACACACATCCCTTCCTTTCCCACCACCCTTCCCACCTCGCTGTCCCTGGTTGTGACAAGGGAGAGCTGTGAAACTCTGCTCGCCCGGCAGAGATGCTCACACCTGTATGGCATGTGCAGACCAACCCCCCACCCCCAGTACATACCTGTACAAAGCTGGACCCCTGAGAGGGGTCACCCCCCACTCCGGTCCCTCCACTCACTTTAGT